GAAGGAAAGTATCTCAAGTGATAAAAGCTATATGTGACAAACCTAATGTCATTGTCATCTTGAATGGGGAAAAGTTGAAAGCTTTCCCTTAAGAATGGGAACAAGACCTGGGCATCTCCCCTCAGTTTTTATTTAACATAGTATAGGAAGTTCTAGCCAGAGCAATCAGGCAGGAGAAAGTGAGGGCATCCAGAGTGGAAAAGAGAATGTCAAATTGTCTCTGTTTACAGATGTCATAATCCTGTACACAAAGAAGCCTAAAAAGTCTCCAAAAACAATTTCAGTAAAGTAGCAGGATACATGAACATGCAAAAATCAGTAGTGTTTTTGAACTAGCAAAAAACAAATCAAGAAAGCTATATTCCATTTACCATAGTCACCTCAAAACTAAAATACCTTGGAATACAGTTAATGACCTATGTGAAAGATCTCTACAATGGTATCTACAAATCCCTGTTGAAAGAAATTAAAGAAGACCAAAAACGTTAGAAAGATTTTCCATGCTCTTGGATTGGAAGAAATGGATTAAAACCTTAAATATAAGACCTGAAAGTATAAAACTCCTAGAGGAAATTATTGAAGAAATACTTCAGAAAGTAGGACTGGGCAAAGACTTTATGAATATGACCCCCACAGGATAGGCAATAAAAGAAAAAACAAATGGGATTATATCAAATTAAAAAGCTTCTGCACAGCACAAGAAAGAACAGAAAAGAAAACCTACAGAGTGGGAGAAAATATTTGTAAACTATGCATCTGATGAAGGATTAATATCTAGAATATACAAGTAACTCAAACAACTTAAAAGTAGAATAACAAATAGTTTGATTTTTAAAATGGGCAAAGGAGCTCAATAGGCATTTTCAAAAGGAAGATCTACAAATAGCCAACACATACAGGAGAAAATGCTCAACATCCTTCAGTATCCAAAAAGTATAAATCAAAGCCACATTGAAATATCATCTCATTCCAGTTAGACTGGCTCCTATTAAAAAGGTAAAGAATTAAAAATGCTGGTGAAAATGCAGCGAAAGAGGAACCTTCCTATACTGTAGGTGGGACTGTAAATTGGTGCAGCCATGATCTAAAATCATATGGAGGTTCCCTAAGCATCTACAGATGGAACTGCCATATGACTCAGCAGTCCCACTGCAGGGTATATATTCAAAGGATTGGAAATAATCATGTAGGAGGGACACCTGTACTCCCATGTTTATTGCAGGTTTATTTACAGTAGGCAAGAGTTGGAATCAATCTAAATGTCCATGATCAGATGACTGGATAAGGAAAACGTGGTCTATTTATAGAATGGAATACTACTCTGCCTTTAAAGAGAATGAAATATTGCCATTCACAGCAACATGGATGAACTTAGAAAAAGTTATGTTGAGTAAAATAAGCCAATCATAGAATGAAAAATTTTGCATGTCCTTACTTATATGTGGCAGCTAAGAAAATAATTAAAATTAATAAAAGAAATATACAATAATCACAATATTGCATTGAACTTCAAGAGTAGAAAATAGAACTGAGGTTACTAGAGGAAGGGAATGCTTAGGGGGATTGTGGATGGGAGGTATTTGTAAGTGGCCAGAAAAATCGATTACACTGTATAATGAAGAACATTAATTATCCTGGTTTGAACATCATATATTGCACACATATTGATATCCAACTCTTTACCTCAAAGATATGTACAATCAACTTTGTTGCAATGAAAAAAACTTAATTAAAAAGACTTTATTGAACCTTCACTTATTTCTTTAGTTCTCTTTATGTATATTCAGATTCTAACCTATATCTTTTTTCTTCTGCTTTTTCTTTTTTTCCACATTGCTTCCAATACAGTGTACAGGCAAAACATTCTCTCAATTTTTGTTTACCTGAGAAAGGCTTTATGTTTTCTTTTTTACAGATTGTTTTGAAAGTGCACGGGACTCTAGGTTTGTACGATTCTTTAATCAACCATTTGAATATTTCAGTATACTCTCTCCTTACATGGATTCTCAGGAGATGATGGGTATAATTCTTATCTTGTTTCTTTTTAGGCAAGATGTTTTTTATTCCCTCTGGCTTTAGTCAGACTTTTCATTATTTTTGATTTTTTGAAGTTTGACAACTACATGCCTAGATGTAGATTTTTGGCATGTAGATTTTTATCTCATTCTGTGCTATCTTAACTCCCTTGATCTTTAGTTTGGTGAATGATATTTGTCCTGACCCACGGGATATTCAACGCAGACCCCGGAGGGGGGAGTGGGAGTGGGATGGAACAAGAGATGCAAGAAATTGAGACAAGACAGTATTCTGATCAAGTCTCGTTTATTAGCCAGAAGGTCACAGCTTATATAGACAGCAGGAGGGAATCAGCAGATAATTAAGTATGTAGATGGTTTGCTGAGAAAACCGCAGGGCGGGTTGTTCCGGTAAATGGAAAATTCCCGTTATCTATGGCAAGTTGCAAAGTTACCTACACCCATAGTGCACAGGATGGGGAGGGACGGAAGATAACAGCAAACAAGGCTCTGAGGCCTCGAGGCAATAGCTGGGCGGGCTCTTTGGCTCCGGACAGGCAGGCAGGCTCTTAGGCAACAGCCGGGCTCTATGGCTCTGGACAATATTAATTTGTGGAAGTTCTCAGACATTATTGTTTTAAGTGTTTCTTTTATTTTTTTTCTCCTTCTCTCCTCTCCTGCTGGTTTTCTTATTACTCTATGTTACAACTTTTGACATTGTCCAAAACTCCTTAGATATTACATTCTCTTCTTTTTTGTCTTTTTCTTGTGTGTGTGTGCTTTTCAGTTCTTAATTTCTTATTCTATCCTCAAGCCCAGAGTTTTTTATATCAGCTGTGTTCAGTCTACCAAATTGGTGAAGGTGTGTGTGGTGCCAGTAATGTCAAGGACCACAGTTTGATCCCTATACTGGCCATTTGACCACCCCCTCATGAATCTTTCTAACATCTATATAATTATTCAAGGGATTTTTACTCATTGAACTATGAGTACGTTGGATTTGAAAACAGACCACATATATGTGTGTGTGTGTGTGTGTGTATTGATGAGTTATGTTGTTAGACTTCTTAATACTGAACTTTCCTTTAACTGCAATAAATTTAGAAAATTTCTTTCTGTTCTTCACATTCTATTTCTTTTCCTCTATCTTATGTTTAACGAAAAGTGCTTCTGCAGACACTATCCTTGTTCTTTTTTTGTTTTTACTTGAAATCTCTTAGGTTTGCTCAGTCATTCTGATGACTTCAGGTAACTTTGAAATTTTGATATTTCCCTGCCTTGGACTGAATGTCCCCTTAAAACTTGTTCCCCACTGTGACAGTATTAAGATGGTGGAAAATCCTATCACGGTATTTGAAAAATGGGACCTTGATGATGTGATTAGATTGTAGGACCATCCCATCATGAATGGGTTAATAATGGTGGCAGATATGTGGTACTGAGGTCTTTAAAAGAGGAACACATGAGAAGTTGACCTCTCTGGCCTGCCATTTTCAGCCATGTGAGACCCCTAGGTCTCCATCAAGGCCTTCCCCAGCTGTGTTCCCTGGACTTTTGACTCCCCAGCTTTTGAATGTGTAAGCAGTAAAATTCATTTTCTAACAAATCACCCAGTTCCAGATATTTGGTATAAGCAACAGAAATTGACTAATACATTTCCACATGTTTATCTTCAGCTTAGATCTCTCTTGAACTCTGGAATCATGTATCCAATTGCCATTTGTACATTCCCACATATATTTCAAGTATAATGTTTTCAAATCTGTTTTATTTCTGCCAATTATGTTTTTCTGTCATTCTTCAAACTACACTTTACAGTGCCAGTACCTAACTAGCTTTAATTATGGAGAGAGACTGAGAGTAAAACTATTTAATTTTCTGCACAGGAATTTGGTACCATGGTGTGTTCGTGCTTCTTATTTCTGTGTTACTTTCCTCTTTTGTATGCATATTGCTCTGTTCTTTTTTTACCCCCCCTATGGGTTGGCAAGTATACGGATCTGAATCTGCAACCTTAGTGTTACCAGAAGCACTCTCTCCCAAGCGAACTAGCTAACCAGCCTTGCTCTATGTTCTAGTGGTCTTCCATCACCCTGTTTTCTTCTGCTCTGACTCTCTCTAAAGCTTTTTCCATTCTTCTTCTACTGAATGACTATTAAATTGTAAATCTAGTATGTGACAGATTCGTATTTACAAAACCACCTTATTTACCCCCTGTGTTTTAGAAAGTGGCAGTGTTCACTCTCATGCAAACAGAAGTGATCCTTTCACATTTGGGAAGGAAATTTTAGAGTGCCTTTTTATATGTTTTCAGTTTATAAGTAATTAAAAACAGCAATTGCATATAATTTTTTACTGTTTGAAATAGACAAATATTTAAATGTAGAATTGTTCCATAATGTGATTCTTTAAGTTTGTGTATCTGTTATCACTACCCATGAACATTCATGTAAACATGGTGCCATGTGTCGTTCCATTAATATGGGGTGTCTTCCTTTGCTCTTGTGACCGTAGTTTTGTGTTTGCTTCATACTGAGAACCCGACGAGAGCTTAACATCTTTGGCATATAAGTGAAGTACAAACAGAATACAACATAGAATTATATTTTCTCTTTCTTACCTCATTCTCTGTTGAACTTGTGTCTAAAGTTGTTTATCTAACACCCTGGTTCGGGTATGTATTTATACTTGTCTTCACACATAATTATAAACTCATTGGAGAAGCAGCATTTCATTCATACTTTTATCACTAGTAACAAGGCTTGTTCTTAGCTATAAGGTGAGGTTTGCAATCATATTTTAGTTATCAATGTGTCATTACAGTGACATGATATTCCTGCTTTTTTTCCCCTCCATATGGTTTACAAAAAAGCAGCACCTTATTTAACGCATAAGACACTCACACTCACAGAAGTGTGAACTGTGAGATTCCTGTTTTGTGACCCAGGACTAATGGCCTGAGTTGAAATCAATGTGTCATTATAGGAGGTTGTGATATTTGAGGATGTGGCTGTGGACTTCACCTGGGAGGAGTGGCAGGACTTGAATGATGCTCAGAGGACTCTGTACAGGGATGTGATGCTGGAGACCTACAGTAGCCTGGTGTCATTGGGTGAGTGAAACTCCCCAGTAACATTGAGGAAAAACGTTTTGTTATTTTTATAAAAATATGAATGGTTGATAGAGTTTTATGCTCTTTTGTAAGATTACATTTCATGAAAAACATGTCATCCCTATGTAATAGAAGATCCAAATTGGCCTCTTTATTGTATAATTCCTGAAGCTAAGCTCTTGTTATTCTTCCAAGGATCTGACTTTAGTTTTACGAAGTCCTATGTTTCTTGCTATTAACAGGGCACTGCATTAGTAAACCTGAGGTGATCCTCAAGTTGGAGAAAGGAACAGAGCCATGCATTATAGAAGAACACCCAAACCAGAGCCTTCCAGGTTGGTGAGCACATCCTGGGCATAGGCCACGAAGAGTAAAACCCAGCAGATCTTGGCTGTGTTCAGCTGTCTCTGGAAAGTTTTCTACAGATTTCTGAGCTGAGACTGGCTCATCTCTTTGCATCCAACACATGTATTATATAATTTTTAAATGGACTCACACATATATATCTCGATGTTTTGTTTTGCTATTTTTTAAAAATGTATTTTCTAAAATTTAATCCCTACATTTCTCTTTTCTGACATTTATTTTTACTATTCACTTTTTCAGTATTCTCAGTTGCTCTCATGTCCTCCACTCATGGACATGGTTTTTCAGTCTCTATGCTTTTGATCTGTGTTACTTATAGCAGAGTATCTGAAACTGGGTAATTTACAAAGAAACAAACTCTATCTCTTACTGATCTGTTGTGGAGACTGAGCATTCCAAGGTCTAGAGGCTGCATGTGGTTCAGGCCTTGTTTCTGGTGGTGATTCTTGGCCGAATCCCAAAGTAGTGCAGGAAGTTGATAAGAAGTCCAGGTATGAGCCTTCCATACCACCATGTCAGAAATTATGGAGATGAGGTAATCCTAACATAGGGGAATGGAAAAGGGGAGTTCTGTACTTCATAGAAGAACCAGGAGACTCAGGGTGTCAAGGCCAAGTGAACCAAGGGTTTCAAGTTGAGGGTTTGGGAATGCTGTTTGGAAGTGGAGTTTGAAGTTAATGTTTTCCTCATCTCTTTGTAGAAATAATTCTTAAACAATAAAGAAAATTACAAATGTGTGGAAGACCCTATTTTTTCATAAGAATAGTAATCATCCAAAACTCCAGTGCATAATACTAAAGATTTCATCAGCAATGAATTACCAAGTGGGGGTGTATGTTCCAGAATCTGGGAAGAGAATATAAATAAATATTAAAAGGAGTTAAAAAAAAAAAACCCTTTTCCAAAGATGGTGAGCATAGCCTTTGTTGCAGAAACAAACATTTGAAACCAGCAGGAAAGGGGTGTCTGGAGGGGGGGACTGAAGTTTACTGTATAGTAATGGTTTTGATAAGCACAGGAAGTCTGGTTAAATGAATAATTTGTGGAAGGCTCTGTTTAGGGTGGAAAAATTTTTTATTATTTGAAAAACTTCCACATGCTTATAGCCATTTCTTAGGGAAGACTAAAAAGTATAGAAAAATGAAAAACATGAATGCAAAATTCTTAACCAAAGTCATTTTCCTCCATATGTGATGAAAAATTGGATCATTCTGCACCTGAATGTAGCCAGTGAAGGAAAACCTATCCATATTCAAAACAGAAGAATGACAAAAAGAGCAACAGGAGATAACCACTATTTTTATAAAACTAAAAAGAGTAAAATGTATGAACAAATGAAGGTGATTAGAAATTATTCGAAATCTGCAATTAGGAAGAAGGTAAAAATTAGCAAATATGCATTATGATTTTAAAAAGAAAATTGTGAATAAGCATAGAACAATGTGACATAATGTTATAAAATATATTGATACAATATAACATTATGCCAGTATGAAGAAAACCCATATACTCCTGAAACCAGTACTCATTACTGATTTTTATAGCATCTTTATCACTAGAATTGAGAGAAACTTCTCTACCTTTACATAAGCATGCAATAAAATAGTCTTATGTGTGGTTCATGGATATAGTTACGTTTTTGTCATTTCAGATGTCCAGATAGTCAATGACCTAATTGAGAGGAGCCAAGAAAGTCATGGCAGATACTTGTGGCAAGGTGTAATCATCAATGGCAACCAATCACCTGAGGAGAGAGTGGAGTTAGGAAAATCATTTAATTTCAGTTCAAAGCATATTTTAAATCTGGTTATAAATAATGGAAACTATTCAGGAGTGAGGCATGAGGAGTTTAATCTATGTCACAATGCACTTCTTCCGGAGACTGATGCCATGTGTGCTGGAGAGAAATGTGATGAGCATAATATATCTGAGAAATCACAGAGACATCATGAGCATCTTAGTCAGCATCCCGAGATTCAAACTGGGCAGCCTTTTCAATATACTGGAAAAGGACAATCCTCCAACACAGTGCCAATATTTACACATACGATTCATATGTGTGAGGCCATCTGTAAATATAGTGAGTATGGGAAAACCTGTAATAAGTCAGATGCCATTGCCCAAGAGACAACTCAAGTAGGGAAGAAATGTTTTCACTGTGATGTATGTCAGAAAATGCTCTATAAAAAAGCTAAACTTACTCAACATCAGATTATACACACAGGAGAGAAACATGATAAATACAATGAATGTCAGAAATCTTTTATTAAGGAATCATACCTTATCTCATATCTGGGAACATCTACAGGGAAGAAGCCTTATCCATGTAATGAACAGGAGAAATTTTTCCATCAGAAGTCAGACCTTACTGTGCGTCAAAGAATTCACACAGGGGAAATATCCTGTGGATTTATTAACTGTGGCAAAAAATTTCATGAGAATTCACTTCTCAACTGTCCTCAGGCAATTCCCAAAAGTGAAAAATCATGTATATGTAATGGGTGCATAAAATCTTTCTACCATAATTCTGACCTTGCCCTATATCAGAGAATTCAAATGAGTGAGAATCCTTATGAATATGAAGAAAATCAAATTTTCTACAGTAAGCCAAAACTCAATGAACATGAGAGACTTCACATTGGTAAGAAAGCCTTTGACTGTAATGCATGTGTGAAAACTTTTAAGCCAAATTCAAACCTCAGCAATCATAAGGAAACTTATAACGAGTTTGGAAAAGGTTTTAACCAAAAGTCAAACCTGAGGAGACATCAGAGAATTCACACAGTTGAGTACCCATATGAATGTACAGAATGTGGGAAAGCTTTTAACCAAAAGTCAGCCCTCAACAAGCATCAGACAATTCACACTGGTGAGAAACCATATGAGTGTAAAGAATGTGGAAAAGCTTTTATCCGAAAGTCATACCTCAGCAGTCATCTGAGAATTCACACAGGTGAGAAACCATATGAATGTAAAGAATGTGGAAAAGCTTTTAACCGAAAGCCAGCCCTGAACAGACATCAGAGAATTCACACAGGTGAGAAACCATATGAATGTAAAGAATGTGGAAAAGCTTTTAACCGAAAGCCAGCCCTGAACAGACATCAGAGAATTCACACAGGTGAGAAACCATATGAATGTAAAGAATGTGGAAAAGCTTATAAACGAAAGTCACACCTCAGCATGCATCAGAGAATTCACACAGGGGAGAAGCCATATGAATGTAAAGAATGTGGAAAGGCTTTTAATGAAAAATCAGCCCTCAACAAGCATCAGAGAATTCACACAGGTGAGAAACCATATAAATGTAAAGAATGTGGAAAAGCTTTTAACCAAAAGTCACACCTCAGAAAGCATCAGAGAATTCATACAGGTGACAAACCATATAGATGTAAAGAATGTGGAAAAGCTTTTAATCAAAAGTCACACCTCAGCAATCATCAGACAATTCACACAGGTGAGAAAACATGTAAATTTAAAGAATGTAGGAAACCTTTTAACAAGTCACACTTCAGAAAGCATCAGATAATTCACACAGGTGAGAAACGATTTGAATGTAAAGAACGTGGAAAAGCTTTTATCCCAAAGTCACACCTCAGCATGTATCAGAGAATTCAGACAGGTGAGAAGCTATGTAAATGTAAAGACTGTGGGAAAGATTTTAGCCGAAAGTCAGCCCTCAACAAGCATCAGAGAATTCACACAGGTGAGAAACCATATGAATGTAAAGACTGTGGGAAAGCTTTTAGCCGAAAGTCAACCCTCAGTGAGCATCACAGAATTCACACAGGTGAGAAACCATATGAATGTAAAGAATGTGGAAAAGCTTTTAACCAAAAGTCATACCTCAGGAGTCATCAGACAATTCACACAGGTGAGAAACCATATGAATGTAAAGAATGTGGAAAAGCTTTTAACCAAAAGTCATACCTCAGGAGTCATCAGACAATTCACACAGGTGAGAAACCATATGAATGTAAAGAATGTGGAAAAGCTTTTAACCGAAAGTCAGACCTCAGCAGTCATCAGATAATTCACACAGGTGAGAAACCATATAGATGTAAAGAATGTGAAAAAGCTTTTAACCAAAAGTCAGCCCTCAAGAAGCATCATAGAATTCACACAGGTGAGAAACCATATGAATGTAAAGAATGCGGAAAAGCTTTTCAGCAAAAGGCACACCTGAGCATGCATCAGAGAATTCACACAGGTGAGAAACCATATGAATGTATAGAGTGTGGGAAAGCTTTTAACCGAAAGCCAGCCCTCAACAGGCATCAGAGAATTCACAAAAGTGAGGAACCATATGAATGTAAGGATTCTTCAAAAGCTTTTAACCAAATGCCAGCCTTCAGCGTGCATCAGAGAACTCACCCAGGGGATAACCCCTGCTAATGTAATGGATGTTGAAAAACCTTTAACCAGAAGTCATACTTCAGGATGCATCATAGTACTCACACAGGAAAAAAACGTTATGAATATAAAGAATGTGGAAAATGTCTTAACTGAAAGTCAGACCACAGCATTTATCAGAGAATTCTCACAGATGGGAAACTATATGAGTGTAAGGAACGTGGAAACACTTTTAACCAAAAGTCCACCCTCAGCATGGATCAGAGAACTCACACAGGTGAGAAACCATATGAATGTAAAGAATGTGGAAAAAGCTTTTTTTGTTGTTTTTTACAAGGTTAGAATTTAGAAGATGTCAGGATACTCACTCATGAAAAAACATGAATGTAATATAAGTCTTTTACTGGAACTCCTCCTAAAAGATGAAAGAATTCATGCAAAGGAAAACCTCATTGAATGTAATTTCTATGGGAAAAGATTTTGGCAGACGTCATATCTCAAGATATCAGAGAATTTACATGAAGAAGAATACCTTTGTATATGTAATTGTCCTCAGGTATTGGAGATTGTCTTGAGGATCCCCTATTGACATAAAAATTTGGTGATGCTCAAGTCCCTTCTATAAATGGTGCAGTGGTTCTGTATTACCAATTCACTTCCTGCTGTGTACTTTACCTCTTGTGTAGATTACTTATAATACTGGAAAAAATGTGAATACTATGTAAATAGTTATACTGTGTTGTTTTTCAGTTGTAGAATTATTTCATTTAATGTTTTTATTTACTTTTGAGTATTTTTGATAAGTAGTTGGTTGAATCACTAGATGAATAACCCTCAGATATGGAAGGATGAGTGTGAAAACATCTTTTTTTGAAAGTCTAAAGGTTGGCTGGTTAGAGCATTGTTGCTTATAACATTGTGCTTATAACACAAAGGACCCCTATACCAGCCTCTCACCAAAAATAAATAAATAAAAATTGAAAAGGAATTACATCATAGCAGACATTAGAGAATTTACATAGGGGAGAAATTCTGTATGGATTAGACTGTTTTTATATCACTTTTTTCTTGTACGCATAGCCTGCTATCAGAGCATTCCATGATTGGGTGGATAACCATAAAATCTGACTGTTCAGGGGAACATAGATATGTGATGAACATTACTTCCACTTCAGGCATCAAAATTAAAAATTTTTCCTTGCAGTTTCTGATTTCTCATGTTCTCTGGGATTGAATGGAGATGACTGTTGGGTGGAGTTGGGGGCCACAGGTGGGAGAAATACACCCTAATTTAAATTAGAAGGAATTAAAGAAACGAGAGATATTCTCACCACTATACCCAAACCTCCACTAACACATTATATAAGAAATTATTTCCTTGTTGAGCCATTGTTTGTGTGCTCTATTTGCAATACAACACAACCAGCCCACTCCAGCTAAATGATTTTATAAACTTTCTAAGAGAAGTTACCAGTACTTGTATATGGGAAGAGAATTTTATATTGTCACCATTTATACCCCAATCAGTTTATGGGGAAATCAAATTATGGGAGAAACAATGCAATAAATGTGAGATATCTCATCAGGACTTCTCATTGAACAGTGAAAGTAAAGTTAAATGTCTTTGTAAATCTCTTTAATGTGTCAAATCTTTCAAGAAGACTTTCAACACTTTTTATGTCACGATTTGAAATGCGGAGAAAACTGTAATAAATGTAAATTTTCAAATAGAAATGATAAATGGAGTACTTAAAATATTTTTAACATTTTGAGTGTTACCAATATTTAAATATGACTGGTGACACTGCCTGCCAGGGGACATTTGGCTTTGTCTCAAGGCATTTTTGGTTGTCATAACTGAAGGGGTGTTATTCCATTAAGTTGGAAGAAGACATGTTTCTCAACAGCCTACAGTGTGCAAAAAAGCCTCCTCACATGCAACGTTTATGCATAAAACTGTTCTTTGTTTAAAATTTATCTTAATGAAACCCAGCATAACTGTGGGTAGGTAATATGTACACTTAGTATAATAAATAGTTTGGTGTGACTTCAGGATTTTTGACATTAACTGCCATTAACTTCTGTATATTTTGTTAAATATATTGTCTGAATTACTGCACTGCATGGAGTTTTTCCTACTCTCCTATTTTAGATAAATTTGTATGAGCAGTATTACAAAACTAAGTAAAGGTAATTTTTTCCTAATGTTTGAAGCTAACACAGAGCCAATCAATGGGTTGAATAGAAACATTTGGATGGGAGTGCACAAAATTGTAAACAACTTGTCTGAACTCATTTAAACAGCTGTAAACAGCGGGGTTTAAAAAAAAAATTCTCAGTGAAGAGCAGTGTCTGAAAGGAATATTTATCCTTTGTTGCTATTCCTCATATTTTTAAATGGGGCCAAATCACAGGTATGAGTGTGTACTACATGCCCTGTAGCTGAGAAATCTCTTGTGGTTCGATTTGCAGTCATGGAGTGCTATTGTATATCTTGCCACTAACAGGTAAATCCTGGCTCCACTTGTGTATTATCTTGTGCATGGCTCTGCTTGTGTATAGGCCTCCAGAACTAGAGATGGCCCCAGAGCCTTTCACCTAAGGAGTCTTCTAGATTCTGTGGTGACTGCCTGTCTGCCCTCAGAGCCCTTGGTGTGGGGAGACTCAGGCCCAAAAGATGGATATGAGCAAGTTAGACAAAAAGGTGTCTATCATAGAACCTGAGAGGTGTGGTTGGAGGCAGGGATTATGGGGTCCTATTGAGCAGGGAGGTCGTTTCCATCTGCCACCAAATCTCTGGTAACAGTGGGTAGAGAGTATAGCACCATCATTTATTTCCCATATTTCACTCTAATCTTTATTATTTTCTATCCGTTTTGAGGACTTTAATTTTTCAGCTTTATCTAGGTTTTTAGTTTGAAGGTTACATTTTTGATCTTTTCTAAAATGTAGACATTTACACTATAAGTTCTACTCAAAGCCCTTTTTTACTTTTGGTACATTGTGTTGCTGTTTTCAGTCTCAAAATGTTTTGAATTTTAGTGTCATTTTTATGGCTCCCTTTCAATTTGGGAGTTCATTGTTTCATTTCCATGTAATTGTGACCTACTGAAATATTCAGTTAATAATCTGTTTAAATTTATTGTGGTCAGAGAACATACATCATATGATATCAATCCTCAAGTTTATTGAAGATATTTTATGGCCTTGCAAGTGTTCTTTTCTGGAGTATGGTACATGGGCTTGAATTTATTGGATATTCTGTTGTTGGGTTTGTGTCTATATATGCACATATGTAAATTCAAGTTGTTTTATAATGTTGTCCAAGACTTCTATACCCTTGTCATTGTTTTGCCTAGTTCTATCGATTATTGAAAGTTGCACCTGACATCTCTGAATATTTACATAGAATAGTCTATTTGACCCTTAATTTCTTCTCTAGTTATTTTTGTTTGATGTTGAACTTATTTGTTTGGTGCATCTATACCTATAATTTTATGGTTTCCTTCTGGCTGACACTTTTGTCATAAATCACCCTCTTTATTTCTAGTAACTTTTTTGTTTTAATTTGGCTTGTTTGTTATTAGTGTAGCCAGCTGGTGTATCTGTGTTATGGTTCTCTTTACATTGTATATCTTTTCCTACCCATTAACTTTCAACCTGTTGGTATATTTGAATTTAATGTGTTTTTCTTGTGCCCAGTATATAGGTTTTTTTGTTGCTGTTGTTGTTGTTTTTGGTCTTTTGTTGTTGTTGGTTTTAATGTTATAGGACATGTCTTTTAAAAATTTTAAATTTTGTTTTATTTGACAGATTATAATGGTATATGCTTATGAGGTACAATTTGATATTTCTACACATCTATACATTGTGAAATAATTAAGTCAGGCTAATTCACATATTCATTACCTGACACACATTTCTTTGTGGTGAGAACATTTAAAATCCACTCTGTTAGCAACTTTGAAATATTCATTACTATTAACTCTACTCACCATGCTGTGCGTTAGATCACAAGAACTTATTCCTCCTGGAATTAAAACTTTGTTCTCTTGGACCAACACATCCCCATTGATCTTTTACACCATCTGACCCTTAATTTTGATAAACTTCATTCTTTCTATTTTGATTACTTTGACTTCTTAATAGTCAACACATAAGTACCTGGCTTATTTTACTTAACACAGAGTACTCTAGATCCATCTATGTTGCCACAATTGACAGTTTGTTTCCTTTTTTAAGTATGAGTAGAATTTTATTTTATATGTAAACATTTATTTTATCCACTTATTCATTGATGAGTGCTTCTGTAGTTTCAATATTTTCACTGTTGTAAATAATGGTGCAATAAACATGGGAGGGCTGACATATCCTTCTCGTACTGATGTCAGTTCCTTTAGACATATACCCAGAAGTGAGATTGCTGGATCATTTGGTAGTTTTATTTTTAGCTCTTTGTGACAACTTTATGCTACTTTCAAAATTGGTGTTCTAATTTACATTCCCACCTAGTGTATTCACACCCTCATGAACATGTTACCTTACCTTTTATCTTTTTGATAATACCTGTTTTAACAGATCTGATGTGATCTCATTGTAGTTTTCAGTTGCATTTCCCTGTGGATGAGTGATGTTGACAGTGTTTTCTTAAATCTGTTGGCCATTTCAAGTCATCTTTTGAGAAATGTTTGTTCAGGTTTTCACTTTTTTAGTAGGGTTTTTTCTTTGTTCTTATCGAGTATTTTGAGTTCTGTATATGCTTTAGGTTTAGCCTATGTGAGATGTATGGCTTGCAAGGATTTTCTCTGAATCTGTGGGTTTGTATCCTCACTTTGATATTTGTTTTATTTTCTGTGCAGAAGCTTTGCAGTTTGATGGTGTAAATTCTAACTATGAGATTAGCTAAACTGAAGTTTTTACATGTGATGTCTGTACTTTATTCAGTGTCTTCCCTAATTTCCACTGGATGTAAAATTATTTTGTTTGTGTGTGAACATTTCATCTATGCCCCAGGTGTAGTTAACCCCGTATCATAGTTAGAAAAGTGAGAGGTTGAGATTTAGGTTTGTTGCTTGAGGTCTCAGACTGGCTGTAAAACTTTTCCACCATGCCACATTATTCCATTCTGTGGAAAGCATGCTCACCAGCCTGGAAGCCTAGATGGGCCTCTTACTTCAGCCCCACCATGTTGCTGGCTTACCTGGTGTGGGAGCTTGTCAAGAGAAGAGATCTCTTTGTGCTTACATCAATGTGTTTGGACCCAGGAGATGCACACCTTGACTTCGGTCATTGGCCTTAATTGGGTTAATGAATATGAGTGTATTTGAAACCAGCATGAAGGTATACACAATTTAAGACCATGTTGATTGACTCTCTGCACACTGAATATATTAGATATATTCCTGTCAAAAAGCCAGTTATATATCTTATGTCTGTAAGAGAACAAATTACACACAGTCTCAAATTACATCACTTTTTCTTCAGTAAATCAGTGGGAACTATAGCATGGAATTGACTGTCTTTGGATCCCAGTGCATTGATGTTTTTAAAAATTTGAGAGTCTGTTGGGTCCCAGATCCACTAGGCCTAGGTGAAGAGGGTCAGAGTCCTATTCCCTTTACCTTGGGAGCCCCAAACACCTATCAAGTCTAATGTATCATCATTCCAGGAACCCAGAGTTTGGGGACATTCTGGCCCAGGCTGAAGGCAGAGTGAGGCAAAGGCTTTACAAAGAATCTGGGATTTGAGTGTGCTGGGCCAACCTCCATCAATCCCTCAGCACAGACTCTGCTGAAGTGGGTTGCACCAGAATAGTGTCTTCATTTCCCACAGTCTACTCAGAGAAGGTCATGGTGGGGTTTGTCCTCCTGGCCTGGAAGGGTATCGGGCAGATATCAGTGGGCAGATGTGGGTCATTTTCCTCAAGGACTTCTAGGAACTTGGGATCTGTCTTAGGGAGGTCACGTCTGGGCTAGGGTGTCTCCATGATATCCTTCCTCATAACAAACTCCACCTTACCAACAGTGTGCCTTTGTACCTTTGCCTTTCCTGTGTCCTCATTGAGTGCCCTTTCTTGCAGACACATCAGGGGACTCCCAGGGCCCTCCTTGCCCTCAGCCCCCTAGCCACATTTAGGTGCTCTCTTTGCTCCCTTCCACCGAATTTGAGGACTTTCCACCTTCGTTGAATTAACCTCTTCATGAATGTTCAGGCTTGAGCAGGATCCTGCACACCACACTTGTTAGCTCCTCCTTCAACTGGATGAAAGAGGTGGGGTAAAAAGGTGCAATGGAGGGAGAAATGGGTTGAGTGGAGAGAAAAGAGGTAAAGAACAGAGAGAAGGTGAAGAGGAGAGGAGAGAACCCCTCCACTACCTGTGTTGGGTGTGACAGCTGCTCTATGCCCACCTCTGCTGCTAGTGCTGCAGGTGCTGGTGGTGCTGGATGGTAGCCTCCAGAAGCTCCTTGGCCTTCTTCTCTTGCAATAGCTGCCTGTGGGCTGGTGGTAAGGGGTAAGCAGCTCTTTCTCATCCTGCCCTCTCCATCTCCAACTATGCATCTTATCATGTGGTTACTGCCTCCTGGTGTGAAGTAAGAACCCCTCAGTGATAGTGGATGGTCCCCTGTCCCACACAGGGAGCACAGCTTCATCTTCAGAGCCTTCAGTTTTGTCTCCACCAGCTTCAATGTAGAGAAAGGGCCAGATGAGCAGGTGAGGTCCGATAAGATCCACCCTCCTGCCCTGGCCTCACCTCCACTGAACAGCTGCTATTTGCAAATCAACTACACCTCCCAGTTTCCCCCATGCCTCAGAGAAGACCACCTCGATGTGCTCATTTATACACTAATTCCTTGTTCCACCACCTGTACCGATTAGTGGACCTCCAATAGGGTTAAATTTTGTCTTGACCTTCAACTCCCGTCCCCTGTCTTACCTACTCAAAACAGTTTTTGCTGAATTGGACCCTAGATATGTGCAATGGCTCATTCTCTTAAAACATATATATATATATGTTTATATATATAATGTTACTGAAACCAGTCCCTAAAGGAGGATTCATTAGGAATATAGAGTAATATAACTTAAGCCTGGTTTAATTCCTTATGTACAATAATTCACAGATG